ATCCATGTATAGAGTTACTTATTTTCAAATTGATTAATCCTTCCTTACTTTGGAAGATTCTCTCATCCATTTTTTTGTATCAGATGGAGTAGTAGAAAGCCAAAAACTTTCTTTCCCAAAAAATAGATCATTAATTGAACAACTTAGAAACTCCAAAAGTAAGGAATATTACTGGAGTTTTTTCGAACACCAAATCGTTATTTCAACACCTCGGCACGTGCTTCAAGCGGAAGATCAAACCAGTTTGATCGAAACACGTGTTAAGGTGTTAAAATAACAGTTTGGTGTTGGGAAAAACCTTCAGTGATATTCATTACTACACCAAAGGTTCCAAACAGTGCACCACGAGTCCAAAAGTAAGATTTGACTTTTGCAATTGTGACCTTACGCAATTTTGACTTTCCCTTTGATCTTGTGCTCGCAAGGAGAGTCAAGAATATTTTTATTGAACTAACATCCAGAAAGCCACAAATTTACATCTTACCTGTTACAGCAGATAATTCTTCTAATCTGACTTTGACAAGAGGGTAGGGAGCTTGTTTGATTCTTCTTACATTTCTCATATATCCGTTGGTTAACCACCTTTGAGTTAGATTACTGAAGTTAATCAAATAGGGAAAGCCCAAATGAGTTTTACTCATATCCAGTAATTGATCTCCCTGGAACAAAAAAAAATCAGTGAAATCTTGTTAGTGAAAATCGACAAGAACATGTAGAAAGATTATCAGGTTCGTATTACATATGTTTTTACTACTCACCTCTCATGTAAGACCCACCATTTTGTAAGTATGTATGGCACATGCCTGATGGAAAAACAACAACTAGCCCAAATAATGTTGCGCAGAAATTTGAAGTAAAATCTTCAGGCTCCTGCAACTTCTCCCGTTTGGAAAATTCAACGAAAGTACTTTCCTGTATATAAGGAGCCGAAATTATTTTTATATGATCGTGACNAATGTGGCATGAGCTGTGTGGCACGTAGCGCCATCCTGTCAAAATCACAAGTCTTTGGTATCTAAATCATCCTATTCAGGCCAAAATAAGTTAGTGATCATTGACCTATTTTCTTCTGTCAATTTCACTTCAAAATAAAGTATTCATGCGTTAATGCCATTATTCCAAATTTCAATTTTTTGAGTTGATCCGTTCAAAAAATAAAAGGGGGGACATTAAAGACATGCACTGCAATACAAGATGTATGGCGTATGACTATTATTGTAAAAATGAAACCAGTGGACGTATTTTAGAAGGTCTAATTACTTAAAAATACGGAATGTAACAACAATGATTCGATGAAGTTCTTTATATCCAGATGTGGCACATTACTTGCGTTCATCTCTGAACAATATTTGAAATTTCTAGCACAATCTCTTTTATTATTTTTCAAAGCGCAATACTTTTACCTAACCCATCATGTGAAAGATTCTAATAAATTATTTTACTATCTTGTCGATAAACACTGAAGGGAACAAAATTAATTTCACATTGTAACATTACATTAGCAATTTTTTTCTTACCCTAGCCCAAGCCTCTTCAATCAGACACTGTATGTCCATGTCAAAGGGATGCCATTCTTGACCATGATCAGAACCTGCACATTCCCACCTAGCACCCTTACCTGCAGGGGAAGACGGCGAATAACATTTTCTTCTGACAGGTACGATGTCTCCTGAAAAATAATGTAACTTCATATCTAACATTATTTTTTTTTAAACATGAGCTGAAAAGTGATTGGCCTAAAAGAGAAAACGCGTTTTTTTTGTACAAAATAGGCTTTATTTATCAACATAACCTCCATACAGAGCCACACAATCACTCCAGAACCGCTCTGACATTTCAATACCACTTTTGTAGAACGACTTATCTTTTTTCCTCAGAATAGGACTCAGTTTCGGCAATAACCTCTTCATTCGAGATAAATTTCTTACCAGTAAGAATTTTTTGAGGTCTGCGAACAGCCAGTAGTCGCTGGGAGTCAAATCTGGCGAATAAGGTGGAAGTCGGAACAATTCGAAGTTCAATTCATGTAGTTTTTCCATTGTTTTGTTGTGACACAGTGTGTTGTCTTGATGAAACAAAATTCTTTTCTTTTCCATATGTGGTCGTTTCTTTGCAATAACGCTATATAATATTCACCTTTGACGGTATTTCCTTTCTCAAGATAGTCCATGAATATTACACCACACACATCCCAAAATACCAACGCCATAACCTTTCCAGGCGATTGTTGTGCTTTCGAGCGCTTTGGGTGAGGTTCACCAGTTGCTCTCCACTTAGATGATGATCGTTTTGATTCCAGAGTGAAGTGATGTATACATGTTTCATCCACTGTAATATATCGATGTAAAATTCCGGTTAGTTATGTTTGTACATGGCCACTGTTCAGAATCATCAAGACATTCTTGTTTTTCATCAACGGTGAGCTTGCGCGAGCCCACTTTGAACGACTTTGAGCAGAGCTTTCTCATAGTCAAATGCTCATTGATATCACACAACTTCACTTTTCGATCATTCAAAACGATTTTGTGGATTATTTTCATGTTTTCTGGTGTTACTGTCTTATTTGGACATCCACTGCATTCTGCATCATCGGTGTCGCTTCGAACACGTTTGAAGTCAGCAAACCAACAATTAATTGTTGTTTCTGAAGGAGCGGAGTCCTTATAACACTTTTCAAGCTATTGCTTCGTTTGAACGGTATTTTTTCCCATCAAGAAGCAGTGTAAAATTAAAAACAGAAAATGGGTTTCAATTCATTGTTTTGAAAACAACAAAAGTAGTGTCACTCTTAGCACAGTAACTCACAAACTTATGAGTAGGATATCATTAAATTTCAACACCTTTTTTTTAAAGGTAAGTACTAACTGCAAAAGCGGTGAGTGCAATAAGACTGGCGCCATCTATGTGTTAGGCCCGAGACTTTTCCATGTAATATATCTATAAACTGAATTTGATCGCGAGCGTATCTGCCAATATAATTCTTTATTTATGGCATTGCCTATTTCTTACAAAATAATTAACAAATTCACACATATGTGCTGTAACATTAATCTATCTAAACCAATTAATTACAATCTTTTCTCAGTCTTTTTAAATGGTTTCAAAAAAGAATTTAAAAGATCTAAATCTACATAGTTGGTACAATAAAAGGGTACTTGGAAGATTTATATATTTCTTACTGTCTTTGGATTCACATTAAAAGTTATAAGTTCAACAAGTTCTGTGAATTTGTGTAATTTTTTATGAGCCAGTGTATTCAAGTTAAGAATTCCCAATATAATTTTATAGTTATATTCACCAATATGACATTCTAATGTGTATGCAGAGTACCTTAAAAACTTGTTTTCAACACTTTCAACACATTATATGAAGGTCACCAAATTGTGGACTAATCTAACAATTGATTAATATATAAGTTATAATTGAAATTTTACTCAAAAAATGGAGTAATGAATTGTTTCAGTAAACATATTGATATAAACTAACATTATATTTTCGAAAAAGTGGTGAAAGGAATTACTGAAATTTAGTAGTACTGTTCTTCAGAACGTTATGTAGTTTCATTCACCAAGCCACCGCAACTTACGAAATTCAAGAAGCATTCAGTAAGATTGATTATTTGAATTATATTAAATGTTTCATGTCAAAGTATAACAAATTAAGGAAGATGGGGCAATAGAATAAGTTGATATAAAAAAACTTACATTTGGAAAATTAGTATGTAAGGTGACATGTGAATAAATATAGTGGATTTTTCAGTTGGGTTCAAAAGAAATGAAGTTGTTTAAAAGTTTGACGATTTCCTTAATTTTTGCATTTGGTGTTTTATTGGTGTTTTTTGCATCACTCACAAATGAAATTTAAATGGTCACTGCAAGAATGAGCTTGTTGAAAAATATATTTTTCTGAAGTGTCATAAATTATATAATGATACCAAGGAGCATGTTGAAATATTCTTATTATTATTCAAACTTATCTTGGCTACCACACCAATTCATGATTTATGTGGAGAATAAAAAGTTTTTATTAAAGAGTTGTTTATAAACAAAAGGTCAATCTGACATGTACATTTTCTTCATATCTCTAATTTTTGAATTATTCACTGTTAGTGCTTCTTAGCACTCTGCAAGTACTAAGCACTACTATGTTAGCCAAAAACAGTATATGTAAGTACCTGATTCTTCCAACTCTTGAGTTAAGGTCCTTAAATTTACAAAGTAATTCAACAAAGTAGGATCCGCATCCGACAGAATAACTCTGGTGAGCTGCTTTCCATTTGCCCTTTCCAAATGTTGACTAACTGCTGGGCTATAAGGTTTCCAGTAACCAGATCTTATTTCATATTCCCAAACAACAACTGCGTGCCCAGACATTATTGAAGCCAATGGGGATTGTGGCATTTATGAATATTGTCGCTCATTTTTCAAACTATTTATATAATACAATTTGAGTCTTTGATTTTCGATTCCCAAATTAGGCACACATCTTTCGTTTTTTTATGTTGGAAGCTCAAGAAGTCATGGACCAGAAACTAGAACAAAAAATTACAGAAACCAAAACATGAAACAATCCATTTTACAAACTCAACCAGCGATATCATAATATGGACCGGTCATTGAAGGGAGAACACTTGATTCTACAAACTAAAAAAGGATAGAGATAGATTTACGTTTTGGCATTGCTTCACTCATACACTTGAAAGTCAGAATTGATGTCATGATGTTTCCAATTCTTTGTTATATAAGTGGTGAATAAATAGTCTAAATACAAAAAAAATTGCGAATACCACTAAATAATTAACTGTGCTTAATTTCATTACTGTTTAATTAGGTACACATAAATGACTACTAAGTATGCACCCCATATTACTGATGACGTAGTTAGAAGCACCTTCAATAATTGAATAGGACTGGCCGATACTTGATGAAAATCCATAATAAAAAACTAATTAATACAGTTTATTGTATGATTTTCACTATAAAGGGTTTTACAAAAACCGCCACCTTCGTTTGTACCTTCTGAGGTTTGTGCAGTAACGTCATTTCCAAAATTTCGTGTGATCAGCAGTGGAATGTATGTAAAAGTGACGTAATGGTGAGTCCATATTTCCATCTCTATGGTCCTATCCAGGGTTTTTATATTGCAAAAGGGGTTACGAAATGTCAAAGATTTTTGCCGCCACGTTTGTGATGTCATTGGAGGAATATAGCGCTTAACTTGAACTATCACGGTATATACATAATCCATTTATTTCCTATTAAAACAATTCATAATCCTGATTCAGTACTAACATTTCACCAACTAAATAGTGTTGTTTTTGTTAGAATCTGTATAGTACAAAATAAAATTGATGATGAATTTCCAACAAAATCTGTATAAGCACAGACTTTGTCGACATGATATTAAAAAGATGTGTATGTGTGATAGATGTCTATCAATGACGGGGTCGGAAAGAGGATTTGTGTCCCTACTGAAAAAAAAATCGTAACAAATCTATCATCACCGTATCTTCGTAGTTGAAAAGTAGATGCCGAGATAAAGACTGTCATATAAACATAGTAAACTTAATCCGAGCCCTATAATTGAACTACAGGAAACTCAAGACGAGTCTTTTGTAGGACCTGAACAGTAATAATGGCGGTGTTCTTTTGCATACAACGGTGCGAAGGCTAAGGTGAAAGTTCTTCAACGATTTTTTTCTCTACAACAAGAAATTGTTCTCTTATTACAACAAAGTTTACAGTGAATTTGAAAATGCTAGTTTATGGTGTCTTTTGGCCTTTCTGTAAGATATCTCAGATAAACTCGTCGAACTTAATCGTGGGTCACAAGTAGAGAAATTTGCTTTCAAAGTTAAGCTAAATTTGTATAATTCACTTTACACCATTTTTTTAAGGCAAAACAAAATGTATTGAGATTTCTTCACAGAACCATGTGATCATATCAATTTATTCAGCTCCATTGTCCAAATAATTGAAGAACAGATGTCAGGAATGAGGAAAATCAAGAAACATCTGTTATTTGTGGAAAATCCCTGGAACTTGGAAACAGGCACTGTTACACAACTAGCTACATTTGGATGTGATCATGCTAAAGTTACTAGACGAGTTGATTAATTTCAAAAACAATACACATTGAGAAGTTGTTTTTAGAAAAAAACTGAGAAAAAAATATAAGGAATTTTGGAAATTAGTACCCGACTATTACAAAACTGTGCAAATTGCTGCTGACGTATTCTTCACTGTATTCTTTGATACATCATACACTTTTATTTTTTGCTTACTCCATTTGTATTATAAATACCTACTTCGTATGCTGCTCAACGTCAGTTAAAGAAATTTCGTACCAGAGATTTCAGCCTCGAAGTGGTCGACCTTTAGTAATCCAAAAAGAGGAATTGAATACCCTGGTGGAGACTGACTCATGACAAACAGTGCATGAGAAGAATTGGGCGACAGTTCCCATGCGATTTTTGATGGTTCAAGACGTATTGGAAATGTCAGACAGCTTGAAAAATGGGCGTCCCTTGATTTGAACGAACGACATAAATTGTCGCGTTTCGAGGTCTGTTCTTTGCTTTTGTGCATCCATAAAGATTCTTTTTTGAATCGAATCATCACGTGTGATGAAAAATGGATTCTCTACGATCACAGGAGATGCTTGAATACCGATGAGCCACCCAGACACTTTCCAAAGGCGAAAACTCATCAAAAATGACGATCCCGTGGGTTGGGCTACCTATCGGGCGCGTCCCCAAGAGGCGGATAGGGGAATGGCCAGGGGACTGGGGTCCCTGTCCGGGAAGCCAATATGTGGCCTTACGGGCGGGATCGCCGGACTCCTGGTCAGTGGCAGAAATAAGTAGGGTGAGGGGAACTAAGACTCCCCAAAAGTCTTCGCGAAACATGCCACCGTGGACCAGCCTACCCAAGCTAAGGTGAAAGGAATCGTGCCGACAGCTGAATGGCCGCAGGGTAATATGCGGTCACGAAATATCCTCTTGGGGAATTGGGCGGAACCTCATTGCAATCAGCCTACCTCTGGTAATGCGGGGCTCTGCCAGAGGAGACCAACTTTTCCCTTACTACTCGTGGGAACACACATATATGAAACAAACATACACAACAAAAACCAATCTCGAGGTTGGACAGAAGTGTTCACCTTATATCTATGGCGGTGGCCGGGGATAAACAGAAATGTCCACCCCAATCTACCGCTCGGAATGAGGCTGGACATAGCAGATCACCTCGTGATGTAATACAAAGGTGATGCATTTGCGGCGCCGAGACCAAAAGGAGAAAGAGAGCGAAAGAGGTAGTAGTGGCAGCAACTGTAAGTGCACCCTCCTCCTTCCCCACTTCACCTGCAACAGCCAGGGCACTTCCTGCGGCGGGCGCCAAGATCTCCGCCTTGAATAAAGGCAAGGAACCGGCTGCCCTTGCAGGAAAGCGTCCTCACTTGAACACCTCCACTAGGGGAACCCCAGGAAGGTTGAAGAAACCGCGCAACGACAATTATGTCGCTGCACCTTCCAAAACCTTCACGGAGGCCGCCTTGAGATACCTCAAGGTTGTGTGTTCGGCGAGTAGCCTTGGCCTACACCTGCCGATATAAAGGAGATGTTTCCTAGTGATCTGTCCACATTCCTGGAAAGGACATGATGAACGATGACCTAGGAGGACATCTCCTCGGGAGAATGTACAATGGCTCACATGTGGCCTTAGTGCATACATACAAAAAAGACTATGTTTACTATATGGTGGTCAGTGGCTGGTGTGACTCACTGTAACTTTCTGCAAGCGGGCCAAACCATCACAGGAAAGTCCTATTGTGAGGAAATCGATGAAATGTACCAAAAATTGCATCAACAGTAGTAAACAGAAAGGTTCGATTCTGCTTCACGACAACGCTCGTCCACACATTTCACAAATCACCGTCCAAACTGAACGTCAAAGTTTTGCCTAACCCACCATACTCCTCAGACCTCTCGTCAACCGACTGTCATCTTTTCAAGCACTTCGAACTTTCTCACCAGTAGAACTTTCGCCAATCAGGACCAGGCACAAACGGCATTCGTCGACTTTATCGAATCTCAAGCACACAGTTTTTATGCCGACAGAATTAATCGACTTGTGTTACTTTGCCAAAACTGCACTGTGCACTGATTCAAATGGCGCTCATTTCGAATAAATTGAATGAGTATTCACTGAGATATTACAGTTTAAAGTAGACTCATAAAAACGGATAAAACTTTTGAAATAACCTAATACTAATGTACGTCCCTAGATTTTAGCATGTGTACTACTTAGATATTGGAAACAGTTCAACTTATGAAACAGAAAAAGTATAAACGAATTCATAAGTTCTTTATTTTTTATCTTTTTCAGGAGAAATCAACACAATTTTTATTCTGATATTATTGTGAAAAGCATCTTGTAAATTTTTTTGAATAGCTTCTGTAATTTGTTTCAGTTTTCCATCCGATGCTCCAGCTACAAGTTTTGTTATCCTCATGGAAGGGCAATTAATGAGTACAACTGTAGTTATTAAACCTGAAAAAAAAAACTCAAATTTGTTAATAATGATACGATATTTCTATGATGATAGTTTGTTATAGATACATTATGGGGTATTGAAATAATAAGATCATATTTCGATTACTATAGGAACATTTTGTATACATTTTAGCCTAGGAGGCAACAGAAGATTTTCACTGATTTCTAGAAAGATAATTTTTTAAAAATTTGTTGTTTCCATGTGCTGAGCAAACAAAATGATGATATACCACCCTGATGTTGTATTTATAAATGAAAATTATGGTGTAAAAATTAAACCTTGTTTCAAAGGTTTTGTCCGTTTTAATGTCATGTTTTTATTTATTCTACTATGTCGTCGTATATACTGATTAATAGATTGTACTCTAATCATTAATGCTGTACATTTTCTAACAAAACCTAATTTTTTGCCTTTTTTTAGCTTATTACAATATAATGCTTTTAAGCGATTTTTGACAAATTTTTCTCTACAAATTCAAATTGAGTCAAAACGAAAAATTAACCTGGCATTTGGCAATGACGCTTAGGACAGTGGTTGGACGATGGGTCACCCTAGAATAGATCATGGTTACAGCGACTGGTTTCTGCAACCGAGCCAAATCATCACAGCAGAGTCCTACTGTGAGGAAATTGACGACACATACCAAAAATTGTGTAAGCAGTAGCCGGCACTGGTCAACAGAAAAGATCCGATCCTCCACCATGACAACGCCCGTCCGCACGAAGTTATGTCTCATTCACCATACTTCCAAGACCTCTGGCTAACCGATTACCATCATTTCAAGCATTCGAATCAAAACACTGCCTTGCTAAGAATGAATAAGCGTATCCACCAAAATGAAAGTTATAAAATGATAATTTAATGCTCACCTCTCGATGCCGATTAACCTAACATCACGGAGATGTTGTTTTTTTCAGGGTCAAGATCAATCCGTTATCCAACTATCAGATTCGAATACGGAATTGCAACATGTCTAACACACCTTTACAAAAGTCGCAATTCACGGAAAGCAAAATGGGTTAATCCGCCTAAACGTATTTTAACCTCTAAAAATAACCCAATATATTTTCTAAATTATCTCCTAAGACTCAGCAATAACTAACTCGTGTTCATTCTCATAAAAAGAAGCGAAGGCCACTCAGTGTTTTTTCTGCGCTCGCAAAAACAGATCCCAAGTAAACCTCCCAACAATAAATTCGAATACAGAGTGATATCGCGATATGAGCCTCACTGCCTGGTTGAGAACGGGTTTATCAAAAACCGTAACAACCGATATGCCGACATAATTAGCATAATTATTGATTCGATGATTTTCTGTAACAGTTTTCTTCACTTTCTCAACATTTTCATCGGTTATTAATGTGGTGTGGGTTTAGGGCGAGCGTCATTCACATCTTCTCGACCTTCTGTGAAAAGCTTGTACTGCTTATAAACTTTTTTATGACTTAGAGTACAATCAACGTATGCCATTGTCAACATGTAAAGTGTTTTTGAGCACTCAATCCCATTTTTTACACAAAATTTGATGCAAATTTTTTTATCCATTTTTTTGATAGCCGAAATTCGCCGAACACGCAAAACTTTTATGCAGCTCACCAACAAATTAAACATGCTAAAGAGCTGAAACTGTGAACATATGTTCGAGACGAGTGTACCAACATAAAAAAATCGGTAATCGAATGTACGTTGCCTGCGAAATTTGAAAATTCACTTTATTTTTTGAACAGACCTCGTACATCAAATTTAATATGCGCGCACGCATGCGTGCGAGTGTGCATACCATTCTCAACATTGAGATATTCCACCTCCGGTTTCAGCGAGTACGGAATTTCTTGTGGAATGAAATCTAATAGGGTGGCTCTAACGGTATTTGTGATTATGGTTTCTATTTCTTGGTCAGTCCAAATGTCCTTTGGAAATAGCCATTCTCCGGGTAATGCATTATCGATTAAAAATTTTTTCACATCTTCAAGTCCATCACCTGAAATAACAGAATAAAATGATTAGAATTTAGAATTTATTAATTCATCACTGAAGAATTTACATATACATACAAGAGAATACATATATACATGCAAAAAACTTATCAGACTAGTCACAAGGCAATAAAGAAAATTCAGAAATATACAATTTAAAATATAAAAAATATACATACAATTAGATTGAAATTTTTTACAATGTAGCATCTGAAAGCTCTTCAATGTATGAGAAATACACATACGATTGGATTAAAATTCTCTACAATGTAGCGTCTAAAAACTCTTCAATGGAGTAACATGATTGATATATTAGATAACGAGTCAGATTATCTTTCAACACATTTGCACTCTAAGTGCGGGAATATATTCATAAGTCGGTTATAGCATCTGATCCCTTGGTATATGTGAGAATCCTGACCAATGCTCAATATTGAGTATGGCTGGTGTACGCTCTCACTATTTCTCGTATTTTATTTGTGTAGATCACATCTTCTACTCAGGTTATTTTCTTCTTTTTTGACATTGATGATAATCAGAAGAATGTAAAGTGAAGGGACTGTTAAAATTGAGAGTTGTTTGAATGTGTTTCTACGAGAGGTGCCATGAGCTACACCAGCCATACATCTAATTTTCTTTTGGATGATGAAGACTTTATTCATATGTACTGAATTTCCCCAGCCTTTTGGCTTTTTACGGCCGAATCATTAAACAAATAAAATGACGGAAACTTTTCAAAGAATGAAAGAAAATAATAACTACAATTAAAGAAAGAACTTTTCCTCAAAAAACTGATCTCTCTTAAATATTCCCTTTTCAATTCAGAACGAAATAAATTTTCATTATGTTCATTTGAGAACAAATAAAATTCAATTAAAATGATAATGAATCATATCGAAAGAATACACTTTTGAAAATCTCTTGAAATTTATTCTTAGAACAAGATTCTACAGATATTGCTTGTGAGTGCTAATATATATTTAAGGTCTGTATTTACGAATTCAATGACTCTTACAGCCTATAAGCGGATATCCCCAACTTGACATTATGTCGGACATTGGTCTTTGTTTGACAGAAAAGTAGTTATCTACTATTGAATATTCTGTAGGACTCTATTAGGCAATATGAGAACTTCATTTCCGAGGCTACATATTACACAACACGGAATTTTCTCCAATAACACAAAGGTTTTGGCTTATCTCAGTATGCACCATCTGACTTCTTGTAGTAGATCAGTTGAAAATAATAAAGTAAAGTCTCATAAATGACCTGCTAAAATGACATCTTTGTGACCATCGGCAAAACTCAAGACAAAAAGCTACATAACAATGTTACCTTCAGATCGAAAAATAACTTTATACTAATTTGGTAGATCTGCACATGAAGAAGCATTCATTTTTTTTTATTCGATGATACAAAAATACGAATTATGGGAGTTCACAGGGGACCCCTTGGATATCAATACCTTCAGGAATAGAATGTTCAGAATAAATTCGAAACTCTGAAGAAACTGCTTTTATTAACATATTTGGTCTGCTTTTCAATACACTGGAAAATATTTACCTGTCAATGATGAAACCATGAAAATCTCCTGAAAAAACGGCCACCCCTTATTCTCAACATCCTCTTTCTTCATAGGTTTTCCTCCAGGTATGGGTTTACCATTTATACAATTTTCTGTCAATTGCCTTGTTAAATCTAACAATTTTCTCTTAGATTTCAATGCATCTACCTGCAAGAGAAATTCAAACTATTCCAAATTCAGTTCATTGTGTATACGTAATTTTATGCAGGTTCCAAACTCATATATTCAAGTGTTGCAAAATTGTAGTAACTGCTTCAAATGTCTTTTTTAGCTTGAATAGTCCACTGCATTTATTGACTGTGGAATAGTTCGTCAAAATAATAATAATAATAATACTCGAGGGTATAACTGTGAAATACTCGAGGGTATAACTATGAAATACTCGAGGGTATAACTGTGGCACCCCCGGAAACCAGAGACACAAGGTCACCTATCTGTTTTAAATGGATGATCTTAAACTTTATGCCTCTGGAGAGAAGGATCTCCATCATTCCTTGAGGGTGGTGGAAGAGTACACACATGCTATCTGTATAAATTTCGCGATAGACAAATGTGCAATGGTTCATCTCAAAAGAGGACGATGCGGGGACTACGGAGAGGATGTGCAGCTCTTAGATGGAAGCATCCTACACCATCTGGATGACGGAGAGACGTATACTTACCTCGGGGTGGAACAACGCCACTCACAAGAGGTAACAGCAGTGAAGAACTCTCTCCGCGGCAAGTATCAGCACAAACTTCAACAGATCTGGTCATCGGAACTGTCGGGGAAGAACAAAGTTGCTGTAACAAATATGCTTGCCGTTCCAATCCTACTCTACTCGTTTGGAGTACTGAAGTGGATTCGGGAGGAGCTGTATCAACTCGACGTAAAGACCCGAAAAATGATGCATCTCTATAGGAGTTTGCATCCCAAATAGTCCGTTCCACATTTGTACTTCCCCCGACAACACGGAGGCCGTGGACCTTTGAATTTGGAGTGTCTACATGCCAGAATGGTACTGGATATAGCCTGTAAAGTCGTCAGAAGTTCGGATCCCCTTCTCTGCATGGTCCGTGACCATGAGAGAGCAGGTATTGGAGCATTTCTCTTAATGACGCATGCCGCCTTTTCCGCACAAAATCTTAGGGATTACGTATCATATCTTCGACAGCAGGGCTATATAGCTCCTTCCCAGCTTGCTAATGAAGTGGTAGAAGTGACAGCTTTACGACCCGTTGGCACGGCTAGAGAGGAGACTCGCATCATGCCACCAATGGAGTCATTCAGAACACGCAGGGCGCTCCTCAGAATAAGGCCCCTGAAGCCACAAGAACTGGCTTGTTTGGATGCGGAGGTTCATAGTGTTCTAACAGAAGAGGCTGACATCTTGCAAATCAACACCGCCGTGAATAGCGTCGTCCAATCGCTTTTCAAATCGGAAGGACGAAATCCCAGCCTTGCAATTCAGAAGATTGAATGTGGTGTACACAGGATGGAGGCTAATATCACGTCGGCCTTTTGTTTCCAATGTGCGATGGATTACAGGGCGACCAACAGAAACGGTCAACAGCCCTTTCACGGCCGTAGTACGGCGAATAGCCGCCAAACTACGATGTATCCATCACACTTTGAGTCAAGGCGTGCTGCTGACCGCCAAACAGCACTGCCTTGATAGGATACGAATGCTAGTGGCTGCTTAGGCGAGTGAGGCGAGCGAGAAGTATCGCGGAAAACCTTAGGTTCCGCGAGAAACCTCGCTTATTCCAAGAGCTTCCACGTGTTGTGGATAATCCGCCGACCGCTAATCAGGTGGAATCCTTCTGGAAGGGTATCTATGAACACCCGCAGCAACTCAACTTAGACACTCCAGCCCTAGCGCCTGTAAAGTCGTCAGAAGTTCGGATCCCCTTCTCTGCATGGTCCGTGACCATGAGAGAGCAGGTATTGGAGCATTTCTCTTTAGGGCAACTGTCAATGCATGGGGTCTTCTTCAATAACATTGGAGACTCTGGCTTATCAAAGCGCCTGACTTTCGCTTTCCTCAGGTCGAATGGGCTGAAGTCGGAAACTGAGGGGTTCATCATGGCTTGCCAGGATGGTGTCTTCAACACCTTAGTCTACCGCAGTCGCGTGATGCTAATACAAGCATACAATACAAGCTAATAAGCCTGATGTAGTCCAGAGCAAGACGAGCAAACGAATATCGTCCTTAAAGAGGAGAAAAAACGGATAAAATATCGAGATTTTCTTTTCGAATTCCGCAGACTCTATTCAGACCACTATGTTAAGATGGTTGTTCCGATTATTGGAGTCCTTGGTGGAATGATACCCTCATCTCACTAACAAAAATTTGTGGGGACTTGCCCTTACTAGAACTATAAACTATTTGCACAAAAAATAATCCCATTATTCACTCCAATCCCTCCTAAAATATTGATTCGATCTTTCAGATTTTAGTAAATACAATCAATAATATTGGTGATATTATTTTGAGTAACATACCTTGTTAAGTACCAGAAAACTTGGCTTTCTTTTGTGCATATCCAATAACTTTATTAGTTTTATATCCAATTTTTCTCTAGTCCAAATATTAGTAACATCATGTATTACTCCAATGATGTCAGCCTCTTTAGAAACATTTTTGCTATCCCTGATGAACGTTTTCTGAAGATTATACCTGCAATGTGAGCTTTATAAAAAGTACCTTAATCTTCACAATCCGCAACATACTTTTTATGCTCTCTGTCACTTACAACTCCAGGAGTATCAACGAATATAATTTGTGCATCATCTTCCGTAAATATGGCTTTTGCTTTGTTTCTTGTTGTATGAACTTTAGCTGATGTGGCACAAACCTTGAAAAAATAATAAAAAGAATTATGCCAATTGGGTTAAGTTATACTTACTTCAGAAACAGAAGACAGATAAAATACTTTTTGGGGCAATTAAATAAAATAATTTGTTGAAAACTTTTATGGCAATAATAAAATCTTATGAAAAGGGAGAATAACATTATGCCTAAAACAATGACCCTTGTTGATCGTACTGCTGTTAATGGTATCGATATTGCCAACCTGTTTGCTAACCAATTTTCTCCCGTCTACACAAATCAATCCTTATGATACCCATATTATATCTATGGTTAATGTGTAATTATCACATCGAAATCTCTAAATCTATGAAAAACTGTCTGAATTCAATACCAACAAAAGCCCTGGTCCTAATGGAATTCCCCCTACTCTTTCTAAACAGTTTAGCTTAATTTTATCTTGCCCACTATACCATATATTTATTAAATCTTTATCATCAGGCGAATTTCTGAGCTACTGGAAAACCTCATATAGTACATTCGGTATTGAGTTTCAAGAATGGAAACATGCCGAAACATCAAAGACAGCAATGCAATTCATCCACAAAGTCACTGAGATATTTCTACCCGTTATGCCCCTTGAGGATGCCGCTAAGAAGCTATTAAAATAGTGACTTGCGACAAATAACTTCAAAAGAGGCGGCAGACACTGTTTATCATATTGCGTTAAATATAGTAATAGGCTTCGGACTGGGGGGTTTTAATATAAATTTTCCAATGATATATTCTGTATGATGCGAAGGAAAAAGTCAAGCCGGTCCTATTGATGGGTGCAGTGTGTCTGTTGACGGTATAATTCAAAGGAATATCTATTTTTACCGCTTTCAAAAAAACATGGTTTCCTCAATCCTCTTCAACTGAAATCTCATTTGTTGGAGAATGTCTCGGTTACTACTGGATATATTTTCCCATTTGTCGTAGTTGATTTGTTATTTTGTTTGTTATGAATGAGATTTTTCAACAATAAATTTTGTATATTCATTTATTCAATTCATTGAGAATAAATGATTTGAATGCAGTACGCATATAGCACTATTACATATAGATATACTGTAGTTTCTCTCATTTCTAGACATACTATACCTCAATATATAAAGCCGTCCGAAAATCTGACGTGAGTAATTATCGTCCCATTTCTATTCTTAGCGTAATTCCTTAAGTTTTTGAGAGCATCATTGCTGATGATTCAAAATATCTTGAGTGAGGCCGATACATTGATTCTACAAAACGATGTAGATTGCCTAACTAACTGGTGTAGGTAAAATGTTATGTGTTTGAACACATCCAAATGCCATATTCTTCACTTCCATCGAACACATCACCCAAACACTTTCGAATATAGTTCTGCCTTTGAAACCAAAGATCTAGGTGTGATCTTAGAGTCCACAATCAGCTATAAATCACACATTTCTGCTGTAATTCAGGCCTCTTACAAAGGTATATTTGTATCTAATCCAAAATTTCATATGTGAAACTATGGAAAAACTAGTTCTGACTCACGTTTACCAACCAAATTTCCATTATCTTTAAATAATTTCGACATTGATCAGATTTATTATACATCAGGTTTCATTTTCAACTATAAATTTTTTTATCTTGTGATTATTAGATCTAAGAGTACAGGTGGCAAGTGCGAAGCAGACATTGAAATGTTTTACTATTTATTTCACTGCTAGTAATATCAATACTTTTGGCATTTTATTTGAGATAATATATTTCCAAAGTTGTACATTGCAAAGTATTTTGTCTGTCTAATCTCAAGGAGAATAAACGAGTGGAGTGTTTTCGAAAAAATAAATGCTATAAATATAAAAATGTAAGAGACCACACCAGAATTTTAAACATGTTCTCTTCCATTACGATCTTTAGGACTAAGACAAATTACTGACCTATATGCTAACATATTCTGTGAGATCGAGAACATTTTTATAATCCTATATGCTGGAGGTATGTTTTAAATTGAGTATGAATAAAGCAAAAGGCCAATGGGGCGTGTATGATGAAATTACGCAACAGAAACTCTGAGAAGGTGGTCTGTTGAACATATTTTAGATTTTTCACTCAGTTTGATTTACAAACCTGGTAAAAAATGATGGCAGTTAACCGGTTGAGCATCTTGATTTTATGAAAATATATTTTCATAAAATATTGGCGATAAGCCTTGAAACATAAGCATTAAATATATTTGAATAAAACATTATTTTGTTGTCCAGTATTCCAATTTTTTATTTAATACCAGGTAGTTTGGAAAATACATTTCTTCATCTAAGATGTCATACCTTCCTATCCATCAAATTATTGATGAAAGTACTTTTACCAGCATTCGGCATTCCTATCACAGCAACTTTCAATAACCTTGTTTCACTACAGTTCGGAGATGTTATCAATTCATGTTTATTTGCAACTGAACCACATAATCTACAGGCAACAACCAATGTATTTGTTTTCTTCAAAGTGGTTTTGATGTATCTTAACATAGTATAGTTTTAAATATTCTTACAAAAGTTAACTCCGAATATTTTTATATTTTATTTACATCACAGATAAATATTGAGGTTAATGATTGTTGTTTTTCTTCGTATTATTGGGTGCATCTTAAGACATGTATCCAGCCGCTATAGATCAAGGTTGAGTTTGCAGAATTGTTAATGGTCCAGTCACATGGAATACTGTCACAGCATAGGTAACAATTGTGGTTTAGTGTTGCCTCGATGGAATTTCAAATAATAAGGGTACCTACCTTAAAATTGTACAATTTCTGGGAAAATTGTGCATCTCGTTTAGTTACTAATGGGGTTGCATACAAAATTAATATTTTATGACTTCTGTCGGTTGAAGCATAACATGACCTTATTAACATTAGTAGCTATTTTGTACATTGAAATTCGTTTTTTTCTAATTACGAAGATGAATAACAAACAATACGGAATATTTCTAAAAACTCCAAATTCAGCCCTGCTTCCATAATATATATCAACAATTTCATCACCAATGACACAAGAAACAGTTTAATGAAATCCATCAGATTGAAAAAACGGTAAAAAATTGTCTAATTGAATTCCGATTATATATTATACCTGCGAGACGGTGACCGGTGAGGTATTAAAATGATGGGATGGTTCTCTGAACAATAAAGTATCTAGAGATTCTAGAGGATTTTTTTCATCTTTGACATATAGAAATATCGTTTTTAGTATTTTTCCGTCAAAATAAATCTTCAATTTTCGGTGTTTTTTCACTCATTCAAACTTGACATAATCTCACTTCAAATAATTCATCACTATAAATACAGGATTAACAAAACTTAAATATATAACAAATCTCAAACAAATATGAACACCAAAAAAATACAATCTACAACATTTACACTACATTCAAAATATTCAATTTTCACAGACCATATCAATACTACACAGCTTGGAACTGGACGACTATATCCTCCATTTCTGGTTCTGACATCTACTACCTGTACAATAACTATCTTGTTCAGGAAAACTTTTTCGATTTACCCGAGTGGCCATAGTTTTATATGTAGATTTACATTACGTAAGACAATTATGTCACCGACTACTACAGGTTTTCCATCTTCCAACCATTTTCCTCTTTTCGACAGGCTTGACAAATATTCTTTCATCCACCTGGTCTCAAATATTTCAGCTAACCTTCGACTTTTCTTCCATTATTTCCTAGCTGAACAATTTGCTTTCGACTCCACAGCCGATTTTCTGGAAAAGGCACCAACCACTATTTCCACACTAGAATCCACACTCACACGAATTTTGAAACAGCTCAATATCAACAAGGCGTCTGGTCCTGATGAAGTGCCCGTCTTCGTACTCGAAAAAGTGCGCACATGAACTCGCACCAGTATTTTGCAGACTTTTCAACCAGTCTTACAAGGAAGGGGTTTTTTGTTCTTGTTGGAAGATTGCTTGCGTTCATGCTATTCCCAAAAAGGGCAAGAAAAAGCTTCCAAACAACTATAGACCAGTCGCTTTGCTATCATTGACATAAAAAATCACGAAGAAAGCCGTAAACCACCATATCCTTAAATATTTGGAAGGCTTCAACATCTTAAGCGCTCATTAATATGGCTTTTTGATATTTTGTTTACTTTTGCGTTCATTCATGCCAGAAATGTTCAACTCAACTAGTTTTGCATTCAAAATGATTCATTTTTTCCAGGTAATTGGTATTCTTCCGCGCAATGTTACTTTTTGTCAATGATATTGTTGAACCTTCTTTGAACAAAGCATATGTAATGAAACACTTATTTGATTCAAAAAGTTTTTCGGGAGAAATTCGCAATAGAACATTGATTTCATTTCCATCTATTGAGCAAACTCGTTCAATCGTGGCTTAAATTTCATTATCACTTTCAACAGTTGATTTAGGTTTTTGAATGCTGTTATGTAATGCATCGTGTGGTCTCTTACAATTATCAATTCCATAAAATTTTCGAGCTTTGCAAAATCTTTTCGAGTGACATTTTTAAAACATTTAAAACAACTATGAGTTTAACAATTTTTGACCAATGATTATCTATATAGTCGTTTTGAATAGAGGGGCAATTTATGTATGATCAGAACTGAGATTCTTATCATTCAGGTGATAACTGTTCGATTTTTGTCCAACATCTGCGTAAGAATTGATAGACAAACTCTCATAACACGCAGCTGATGAAATTTCGTGAGTTCATGTTCCGAAACCTTCAAAATTGGCTTTACCTTTTTCTCTAATAATATTTGCCCCCACTGTAACTTTAGTCCATAAGAAGTTTCGCAACCAATTGCTCCAGGAAGACTGGATTCTTCATGTGATTGTTTGCTTATATCTGCTCCAAAATTGCTATCTAGTTGTTAACAAACACTACATGAAAATTCAATTGAATTAGAAGAATCACCTTCTCTTGAAAAAGAAAAGTCCTCAATTTTGCGAATTAAACCTTTTATGATATATGTATTCAGGAAGACCAAATCTCATTTCCTTCGTTTGAAAAACTGATTCAACATTACCTGGGTGCAATAATATGCTACTGGCTGCTTCTATATAACGCTTCACCTACCAAACATTTCTGTAACCTCAAAATTATTTCATCATTAGAATAATGACATTCAAAAACTTTTATATCATATTGATTTTCCAACATAGGCCAATCTTCTGGCTTACCTTCCATAGTCTGTCTAGTCATTACTTTCATTACTTCTTGAAAAATACATAAAATGATTTATTTATGTTACCTCTCGATCTTCTGAATCACCCTCAGCTATATTTGAATGATACTGACGTTTGTTAATCCAGTTTTGTACGTGAATATTCCTCATTTACTTACTGTACTTATATCTTCTTCAGTTTCAGACTCAGTATTTACGAAACAGTCAAAGTTTTCCTCCCACTCAGCTTCTGCTTATTTCTGTGTCAGTTGTGTATCATACTTTTTCAAACAACTCGTTACCCGGTATATAGTATAATTGGAGATTTGTCTCTCTTCCATAGATATTTTCACGGGAGGTGTTCAAGTGACTTGGCACATTTGATTCCACCAAGAGCGGAGAACTGCGTGTATGTAGATTAAACTTCCTGAGAACGTATTTTCAAATGGATTCAATCTCTAGCGATTCAAATCCAATATGAATCACTACTTTTGCACAGGCACCGCTCTGAGAGCGCCTTAAGGATTTTCCTATAGTTTGTCTGTAAAAAAATGTGTAAATTATATCTGAATTTAATCTATAACGAATGTTTGGAATACAAACTGAATAGGAAAAATTGTTTTTGTATTATCCAATTTTATATAAAACAATTTTCACGTGTAACTTATTAGTTATACAGGTTTTGTTATTTATTTTTACATCATATACAAATCTATCACATTTAATCACTCGGAAATAATATTAAACTTTATGTCTGTATTGATTGTCACAATAAACATTGATATAAACGATCAGGAGACTGGTCTACTGCACCGTAAGAGAAGCAAATACCATAAAAAAAGAAGAAGAAATAGTTCAGAGTTCAATCTGAATCCACTCTGTTCTCTGTTCTTCGTTAAAGTCGAACTGTATGCTTGACTTTCGGTTTAATTCCGTGTGCACTTGTGTGGAATATGGTGATGTTTGTATTTGTTGATTGAATTCGAGTCGTGTAGTGTTCAACAGAACAGTGCAGAGTGGAAGTGGCGTTAAATTTAAACTTGGGGGGAATACAAACTTATTATTATCAGAAATTTATTTAGTCTTTTCTTACTGCTTTTTATATTCATAGTAAATATGGCTGATGGCGGTGAATTTGATAATACAAATACAAATGTAATTTACATTACTGGTAAGTATAATCTTGAAAAAAGTTATATTTGTCGAGATTGTTGGGAAAAGTTTCATGGCTTTCTAATTCTTCATAAATATGTGAAGATAGAGAAACCTGTAAATAATAATAAAAATTAGGAAATATCAATGAGAACCACAAGAAATGTAGATCATTCATCTGATGTATCTTTCAGATACACATCCATCCAGCTGAAGGAGCTCGTCTGAAACAGCTATCCCCTTCAGATATTAAATAACACAAGTCGCTTTTTTAAAGGTGTGTGAACCAAACTATTTGGCGTTGCAAAAGCGTCAATGCTTTGGTTTTAGAGAAACTGTCCTCATCTGGTTCGATTTGTATCCACTTCGTGGATACCAATTCGTGAAAAACTATCGACATCAGATATAATATATATCAAGTGTGGGCAGCACAGGATGCTGTAATAGGTCTGATTTTAATGATCTGACTCTGCTACGAAATGAATGGATATAATCTGAAATAAATATCATTATTGAAAAATACAAGAGCAATTTGAAGAAGAAACTGGATATTTTTGTGAACAATTTGGAATAAATTCGGATTCACCAGTGCCAAATACGTTCATACGCCTTTATCCATTTGAATTTGAGGTATAACCATTTTTTTGGAGACCTTTTTCAATAAGTGTTCATATTCTAGAAGCGAGCACTTTTAGGTACATCTTCATGGAGTAAAAGATAGGGAATCAGGTAAAACTGCTTTATTCAAACATCAGACATACTTTTTGCCTCAATTTTTATGCTGAAGAATGTTTCCATAATAATAGACCAGATTAGGTATCAAAATGGAATATCTGATTGATATATTGAGTGATAAGGCTCATTATAATTCATCTGAGTTCTATTAGGATACATTTTAATAATGTCTGTTATTTGGTAAAGAAAGTTTTTGTCTTCCTACTACTCCATTTCGATACAAAAAAAGTGGGAATCTTCCAAAGGATGGAAGAAAGCCAAGAACTTTCATTTACCAAAAATTATTCACTCCTAAAAATATAACCCTTTCAAATCTGTATTTTATTCTTCTGTTTCTCTTTCTGCCTATATAAGTATGAGAATGTTTTGAATTTTGCAATGAGTTCGTTGGGAAATCGGGAAATATATCAGCATTACATTTACTGAGAATTTCTGTCGTGCAGCTTGACCTGTAACTTTCTTTTTCGTCTTTCAATTTAATTCTCCATATATTGATCTGCCATTCAGGTTGTCCAAGTCCAGAGCAATTTTCCTGCAAAAGTAAAGTATCAAACATTGTTTCCACTCTCAACTGAAGGACACACTGAAAGAACCAACAGATTAGTATTTGACAAAATTGATCTATGATCTTAGAAACTTAAAAAATCTTTTGAATAATTGCAACTGCAATACGGACATAAGTCTCTGGATCCTTTGAATTTATTCATTGACAGTGGTAAAAATCAAATTAACATGGTCTAAAGCTAATAATGGATCACAAAAAAGAAATTGAAGAATTTTACATAAGAGTATAGTGTTTAGAGCCCAATTGAAAGGAATAACAAGTTTTCTGCTTGATTGAATATCCTCGAGCGGAAGTAGTTGTTTTAGACGGACCTTTTTCCTCAGGTTTGCATCTAAAAGAAACATCTGTGGATGATTTACACAATCTGCTAAGAAGTTTTCATCCATTCATAGTGTTTTTTTTCTTTCCATTATTAATGAAGAAGTTTAGGAAGCCAAAAAAGCATTTCATGTTTACTCTTCAACTCATATTTCATGATTCTTGAATATAATTTTTACATTAAAATGTTATTTCATGTTGAAGAAGAACATAGGGTAGAATGGAATTATGATGCTACAAAGGAACTTCTGAAATTATATGACGAGAAATGTGATATGTTGGAATCAGGAATAATAAATACCCAGAAGAAGTTATGGGAGTTGGTTTCAAAAGATATGATACGAAAAGGATATTATTATACTGGACCTCAGTGTGAAAATAAATGGAAAACACTGAAACGGACATACCGAAACAAAATGGATAAAGCTGAAAAGTTTGGCACATGCAAAAGATCTTGTCCATTCGAGGAGTAAGTTGAAATAATGCTTGTTTCATTCTGATCCACCTGATATAAAAAATTAGAATATTTTCAGCTATGTGTAGACACCTATAACAGGCTTATCTGAAACATTGCAACTTCAGAAGAGTTTTTGTGTCTATTCCAACCAGACACGTTTTTTTTTACTTTTGATGGTCTTTTGGTTGAAATCAGTTGAAACTTTCATTCAACCATTTAAGACTTTCAACATTCAAATTCATCGGCACAATTACTTAACAGCTTGCATATTGTTCTGCTATTTGCCTACTACATTAAATTATTTAAATCAGCACAAGGCCGTGCCCATATTTTTGTTTCAGGGGGTCTCAATAAAAAAGACCTGCTAATTCAAATTTAATTAATTACCATTACATAGGCACAGGAAAAGCCCTCCACCGAAAGACACTGTACTAACATATTAGTTTTTAAAAGTAAAAACCTCAAATTTTCAGTTCAGTGAATTCACAATACAAAATCAAGCCTTCTAGACTTTGTATGGGCATATTCTGTTATAACATCAGCTGGGATAATGACATCTCTATAAATTGCCATCAGAGCCACTCTGGTTAGCCTCTCTTGCCCACAAGAATTCCGCTGGTGAGTTTGTAGGCGCCTAAAGCAAATTCAAATCCAAGATAGAGTGGATGTAAACATTGACATGTCCTACGCACGTGATATTGAAAATCCCAAGAATTGGNTCTATTTGTATATACATGGATTTTATCTCCAGTATACTAAGTTTGTATCTGTTGTATGCTATTTAATTGTACACAATTCATATTTTATGTAATTTCCATAAGCTTACCTTGGTTTATATCCTTGTTGACTTTCACAATCCATGTCTATGGAAGATGTGTTTAGTATATATACCTTATACATTTTACATTTCATTTTATGTATTTCTGTCTCACCTAATCCATGTAATAGTGGCAATGAAGGAGAAAATAAATATCTATCTATCATGTATATACATTAAACAGTCTACAAGGCTAGACATTTATTATGTATTTGACAGGTTATTATTTGTTGCTATATTTACAATTTTATGTGTTGATATCAACATAAATATTACATTTTAGTGAAATAACGGAGATTCTTAGCAAAAGGCCTCAAGAAAGTTTCACTAGGAGCTTCTACACACCCAAACATATCAAGTCGAGAAATGATGAGTCAATGGAAATCAATTTGAACAATCCTCCTGGGTAAGTCTTATCTACTGGTGTGGGGTTTTAGGAAAAATTCCCCTTCGATCCTATCCAACATAATTACAGTATAATATTTCTTGAACAAGTTCCAACATAAATAATGAACGACTATCTATTAACTTTGTGATTGGTTGATTGGTGTGATTCAAACATTTTATCTTTTAACTTAATTAAAACAAATTTGTCATCATTTAGATACTCAATCAACGAACTTTCTTTGAAGACAGATCACTGGAATCTAAAAATAACACTAAACTTCTATGAGTCTTCATTGACCAGAATTTAAAATTTGTGGATCATGTTGAACAACTCACTAGAAAAGTCTCCTCCGGTTGTTATGCGGTTAGAGTGATTTATAAAGATATTACATTAAATTCAATAATAAAAAAAAGTATCTATCAAAGACATTTATTTTTAAAACATTAGGAATAACACTTCTGTCCTTTTTTTT